GCCTGCAGTGTGAACGTAGCCTTAGCTCCTACTTCAGGAGGTGTTTAACCTTTTAATAACTGAACAGTGATTGGTTCAGATGTGAAAAAAAAATGCTATTGCAGGCCAAGCATATTTTTTAAAAAACCATGAAAGTCAAAAAAAAAAAAAAAACAATGACAAAATGAATAACAGTGAAGTCCCAGTGTTATTAGGATTAAATGTAACAGGTCAAAAGGATTCCATGCTGGCTCAACAAAGGGCAGCAAAGCAGAGCAAAAATCTAGAAGCTCAAACAGGTTTACACTCTAGATCACAGGGTCAAGAACACTCTGATCCAGACTCATGAGACTCCGTAACATCTCAGCATCCCTCAGGAGGAGCTGCTAAGTGGGACGTCTGGAGTATCCTTTTTATCTTCCAGCAGCAAATGGATGAATGGACTAGTGTCTCTTACCTGTAACTGGTTCATCAAGGACCAGCTGCCCTCCAGGTTTGAGCACTCTGGCTATTTCTGCTAGAGTCTCTGAAGTGTGGATGGAGGAGCTGTCAGCCAGAAGGCAAGAGAGCACCCAGTTGAAGGTGGAGGCCGCATGAGAGGCTGAGGAGAGGACAGGAGGAGACAATTAATGTGAAATACGCTATGTTCTGAACTGCAAACTAAAGTATTCCACAATGGAGCAGGGGTTCAAAGTGAGACGTAGGAGGTGGGTTAACCATAAGACCCAGTGTGCAAGTGCACTGGAAGAAAATGGATATTCTTTGTGGATTCAAGTTTCCTTTGTCTTAAAGTTCTGTCGACTCAGAAATATTCATTTGCAAGTTTCATTAATAAGCTCTTACAGGCAGATCTGTGTGCACCAGGTACATGAAGTGCATTTTAAATTCCCGCCACCTCAGAAAGCACCTCTCTTTAACAGCTGTTTTCCCGAGTAGTTAAGTAGCAGTTACGATAAGTACTGTAATTGTGACTATTTTTAGACATTTGCACACATGAACTCATGACAGAGATGCAGGGGAATTTAACGCGTGTTGATTGTGGTGATGATGACAGTCTACAGCTGCTGTTTCAGCAGTTTTCCTTAAGAGGTTAAGTCAGAGCATGTGTTAAAAAGAAATGATCAGGTGAACTCACACAGCAGCAGCCTCTCTATGTTCTCCACTGCCACTCTGCCATCCGGACCGACGACCGCTCCCAGCTCCTCTGCGTACTGCTTCAGGGCTGTAGGTGTTGAAGGCTGAGCCCACACCAGCACCACTTTGTCTCCTGCTCTGATGCCAAGGTCTGCCATGATTTCCTGGAGGAAGTGAACTCATGTTTTTATACCTGAAAGTGGAGCATCAAAGTTTGTGTGTTTGAAGGTGTAGGTAATGACTACTTGATGAACCAGCCAGGCTGCAAGAAAGGCCAAACTGGCATGTCTGTAACATTAAGACACAACAGATTCATCCAGTGCTCAACTCGACTCTCACTTACACAGAGGTAAGGAAGCTTTAGGGGATCTGTCCTGGGCCGCATAGCTCAAACTTGCACTGTGAAACATGTCTGACATTTTTTGTATTGACTGTAACGTTTATTTTATTCATATCCTACAGAACATTTGAAGAACAGAAGCTGACCCAAAGTGCTTCAAAGATGGGCACAATATCATTCGAGATTTCCTAAAAACACAGTATCAATATACATGAAAGGCATGTTTTCTTACATTAACTAATTAGTTAAAGTAAAAATCAAACCTTCTGTTTGCAAAGGGGAGCCAATCAGGGGAAGGTTTAAGGAAATCTTAAATAAGATAGATAAGGTGTATTTATATAAGTGTGAATCTTAATGTAAAGCTATTCTAATATAAACGTGGAAGTGCAAATGAGTGTAATAAAAAGCCTTTAACCCTCTTGGGTCCAGGTTATAATTGGCCATTTTTGGCTACTTTTGAATTTACCTCTATATTTCACCTTTAAAATATGTTTTTCTTGCCTTGTTTGGTATCATTATTTTCAGCACAACCTCAAATATCTGATATCTGATCTATTTTGGTATACTATATTAGCACAGTTGATTTAAATTCAGACAAAAAATTCAAAATCCGAGTAGAAAAAAGTTATATTTTTTACTGTAAAACCCACAAACGTGTTTAACAAATCATTTTCATAACTTGAATTGCAAATAGAAATTGTACATTTCTTAAAAAATTATGCACAAGTTTTGCAAACAACAAAGTTATATGGTACTATTTATCTAAAAATGCAGCCAAGGCCTCAGGCGGTTTTTATATAACAATTTAAATCTATTTACAGAACAATCAGGTGTGCTGCATCAAATAAGAAGGCACACAAATTATTTGTGCCAGTCCAAAAAATGTAGTTTGTGTTCAGTATAAGACAGAGGAGAACACCACAGGCCTAAACCCTGCAGGTCTGACAACAGGTGGTGTATCAGTCCAGTTTTCCATGCGGGAACAGCGTTTACACTGGAATCTGCTTTTGACGGCTTTTTTTGGAGAAAATATGAAATTCAGCAGTATAACTGACACATAATACAAAACAATAACTACACAACAAACTAACTATAGCCTCCAAACACGCTAAACGTCACTAATGTCTGACATATGAAAACTCGCGCTCTCTCTGTCTTTCGCTCGCCCGCTTTCCGTCGCGGGTGTCCGTGTCACTCCTGAAAACTGCCCCTTCTCCCTAAACAACCAAATATCACATGTTGCTATATAATTTTTTTTGATTGGCTAACATGGTAAAATCTAAGACCAATTGGGAAGGGGTGTTTTTTCTGTTTTTGTTTTTTTTTTCAGAAAACACATCACGGGTATTTTTTTTTTAATACACGGCGACCCCAGACGGTTAAGATCCAATCAGAGCCAAATTACAAAATGTTATTCTAATGTTATCGTATAAAGGTCTAGAAGGTTCCCTGTCGCTCTGTAAGTGACAGTGAAGAGATGTGTTTAAAGTCTGCAAAACAGAAAACCGCTTACGTGATATACCAATAATTAGAGGTTTGTTCTTGACTCCGGTGTTTCAGGAGCTCCGAGGAGCAAACAGCGTGACGCAGCACCGGCAGATGCCCGTAATCAGCTCCTAATGACGGCGTGAACACCAAGCAGCTCCCGGTACACGGCTACCCGTAGTATCAAAGGCTTAACGTTTGTCTACTGCTCTCCTTAAAGGCCTCTGGTGGCAGAATTAACTAAAGAAACAAAACGTAAACCGAACCTACACGATGACTTGCCTGCTGTCCTGATGGCAGTTAAACTCAGCTACAATCACGTCAGAGAGTGTTTCCGGTTCCTATTTTCAAAGTAAAGTATTTGAGCCTGGCCCACAGGCTGTGTGAAGGTTCTTCATACATTATGTATACTTGACTTTATATGAATTAATTTAGGCGCAATAGGTTTATGCTTACCTAATACAGGATAATCCAAATTATATTTTTCAAACCTTTTCATGGAAAAGTTTTTAACTATTAAATTTATTAAAATTACTTCTCTTTTTTTTTTGCATAATTCGATGGTCTTAGTTTTATTGTAATTTACAGGCGAGATTGAGTTTAAATGTATAAACACTGAAAAAGAGTGTTCGCGTTTGGGAAATTAAATGCTCTATATGTAAATTTTAGTTACAATAATGGCCAAGTTTATGATTACTGGGACACAGACATGAAAAACACACACACACAAACCTAATTCAGGCGTTTTAATTTGAAATGCTCTGACTAGATTTCCGCTGTGGGAGCCAGTCGCGCGGTGGTGACGCCGCTGTGAGCAGCTGATATGGCGGCGTTGCTAAGAGGTCTGCGGGCTGGAAGGGCACTCCGTGGCCTGAGCAGCGGTAAGAAGGGGTCACCGCTGGTTTTGTGACTATACCGGAGAGCCGGGACACGTTTTCCAGAACGCTCCCCTTTGCAAACAGAAGGCGTTATCAGCGCCTTTAGAACGAGCGTTTTATTAGCGTTAGCTGATCGCGCCAAAGGTGACCATGAAGGACGATATCAGCAACAGGGAACTGAGTGTAGCTCCAAAAACGGGGCTATTAGGAGGTTTGTAGTGTCCGGGTTGGCTCTGCAGGGCAGACCTCACAGGTGACTGCAGGGTAAACAGGTTCCTACACCGGGAGGGGGCGTGCTGTCTGCAGTTATACAAGCTGTCTGAGCGTTTCTAATGAAACCCCTAATTATAGCTCCCTTTTCCTCTATCATTGCAAGTTCTGTGAAACACACACGTGCAGTCTCCTATCGGAGTGTATTTACGGTAAAGCTTCAGTATTTGTTGATTAGAGTTTGCAAAAAAATGTACCAAACCGCACATTTTCCACTGAAATACACACTTAAACTATGAAAGCTATCAATCGTTTGATACGTAAACAGCCTAATTTATACTGAGTTAGTATAACAAATCAATTTTAAAATGCTCCCGTTGGAATACTTTGGGGTATTTTTTATAATTTGCCCACATTTTATTGGAATAATTTGATAGAAAATGTATAGAATATATATAATAGTTAATGAATAAACGAATAAAGCTAAGTCCATATGTCCTATACTGACAGGTCACTTTATTAGGTGCTAGCACTGTGCTAGACCCCCTTTCTCCTTCAGAGGTGCTTTAATTCTTCATGGCTCAGATTCAGCAAGTTGCTGGAAACTTTCCTCTGAGATTTTGGTCCATGTTGACATGAATGCATCACACCGAGACTATAGATTTATCAGCTACACATCTATGAATGTGTTCTACAACATCCCAAAGGACTGGTGACTGGAGGCCATTTGAGTACAGTGAACTCAAGAAACCAGTTTGAGATGATGTGACGTGTTTATCCTGCTGGAAGCAGCCATCGGAAGATGGTCATAAGGAGATGGAGATGGTCAGCAACAATACTCAGATAGGCTGTGGTGTTTGAATGGTGTTCAGCTGGTTTCAAGAAGCGTGCCAGGGAAATTCCCCCACCTTATTAAACCACCACCAGCCTGAACTGTTGATACGAGGAGCGACAGTCATCAGACCAGGCAACATTTTTCCAGTGTTGTGCATTCAGAGATGTTCTTCTGCTTTTCACTGGATATTTTCTCTTTTCAGACCGTTCTCTGTAAACTAGAGATGGTTGTGTGGGGAAATTCTCAGCAGGTCAACAGTTTCTGAAATATTCTCTCACAACAACCATGGCGCTTTCAAAGTAATTTTTCCTCCCATTCTGATGCTCAGTTTAAACTTCAGCAGGTCATCTTGACCATGTCTATATGCACTGAATAGCTGACACATGATTGGCTGATTAGATATTTGCCTTAACAAGCAGCTGATGTAGTGACCAATGAGTGTAGCATAACAAGTATTTAGTGCAGCATTCTCACCAATATTTCTCTTAAGTGGAACAGATGGGGAAATAAAGTCATACCATGTGATAAACTGTACAGGTTTCACTGAGCTTGAGTTTAATGTAAATGTGAGACTTTGTACTGTGGTTTGTCACATTTAATCCTTTTTCTAAAAGTGTGAACAACAACAGCACACACTGGGAGGAAAGTGACAGGCGATAGAGATTCGATACAGCACGATTATTAGGAGAAATAAACAAGTGCACCGTATTAAAAATGAATCTGTGGAAGTAAATCCATATATTTGTATGCTCCAGTGGTGGCTGCACCAACAGCAACAAACCCTCAGTGCGGCAGTCTGAGACGAGGCTTCCACTGTGCAGGGCTGAGGCTTCAGGATGAGTCCAAATCTGACAAGCCTCCCTCCTCAACCACCTACCATGAGCACTACCAGGCTCGCTCTGCTGAACAGGACACGGCGGCTTCTGCTTCCGATCCGGCAGCCGACCAGTCTACCGATCCAAACACCAGGTCAGTAATCGTCACATTAGTCACTCCTGTCATTCAACAGGGATTTTACAAGATGCTTTCTGATGTGGGAGAGCTACACTTGGTCTCACGTTGCCGTTTGTCTTCGTGAAGTTACCAGGATCAGAGCGGGGAGCAAGATGAGGAGTATGAAACAGAGGAGCAGCTTCAGGCTCGAATCCTGACTGCCGCTCTGGAGTTTGTTCCTCTGCACGGCTGGTCGATGGAAGCTATCGCAGCTGGTGCTGAGGTGAGAGAGTAGTTCAAAGACTTGATCGTGTAGCCCTGTGTTCGTATGTAAGCTGCACCATTAACGCTGTGGTTGTTGTGTCTGTACCAGAGTCTGGGTTTGTCGTCTGCTTCCACCGGTATGTTCGAGAAAGGATCCGGAGACCTGGTCCTACATTTCATCGCTCAGTGCAATGCGCAGCTGACGGAGATCCTGGCTGAACAGCACACTCAGGTCCAGCTGGGCCAGGCTGAGTATGTATACACAGCAGCTCACTTTGCAGTCACAAGTATTTGCTCTCTGCCTTCACAAACATATGCACTTGATCATGACATTATCTAAAACCTTTTGGTGTGTTGAAGCATTAAGAGTTCCTTTCACTGGAACTAAGAGGCCAAGCCCAATTCCTGAAAAACATTCCCACACTATAATCCCTCCTACACCAAACTTTACACTTTGCCGGTTGCCAGGACAGCGGTACTTGTCAGGCTGCACTGTGCTAACCCAGACTCATCCATCCGATTGCTAGACATGTAATTCATCCCTCCAGAGAACACGTTTGAACTACTCGAGAGTCCAGTGCCGTTGTGCTTTACACCACTGCATCTGATGCTTTGCATTGTGCTTGGTGATCTAACGCTTGGATGCAGCTGCTCGGCCATGGAAACATATTCAATAATGCTCTCTGTGCACTGTTCTTGAGCTAATCTAAAGGCCACATGAAGTTTGGAGGTTTGCAGTGACTGACAGCAGCCTACAGGCCTCTAGGGACTTGATTTTATTTATCTGTGGCCATGGAGGTGACTGGAACACCTGAATTCAATGATTTGGATGGATGAGTGAGTACTTTAGGGAAAACTGTGCAGGTTCAGCTTGAGCTCAGGTTTAATTCAGGTCGATTACTCACCTACGCTTTAGGCTGGAAAATAAAACACTCAGTGGGACAGGTAATATGAAAGAAGGTGAAAGATGTAAAGACAGATTTCTCTTGCAGACCAAAGAAGACTGCAGATTTTATAAGAGACGCTGTGGAGACCAGACTGCGCATGTACATCCCCTACATCGAAACATGGCCACAGGTACAGCATGGAACACTGGGAATACGAGCTTCTGAGTGTGTTCACAGGTCAGGAAGCTTTACTCGATATTGTCTTCTCAGGCGATGAGCCTACTGCTGCTTCCCCACAACATCCCCGACAGCCTGAAGCACCTCTCCACGCTGATGGACGACATCTGGTACTACGCCGGAGACCGATCCACAGACGTGAGTGGATCCTGTCACCCTTCTTCTTCTTCTTCTCCTCCTCATAGCTTCCTGTCCCCCTTTCATCACCACCCTCAAAATATCCGACCTGCCACCTCCCAGGTTACTGCCCCTATCGACACCTCACTTTGTCCTAGCTGGTACACTGAAAATACTTGTTTCTTATTGGCTGGCAGGTGCCACTTCAGCATTTATATAAAAACAGTGAATGATCGCTCCAGCCAGCAGATTATATCACAGATACTGTTTAACTAACAAAGAGAAAAAGAGGGCTAACGACTTTCTCATGAGTGATCGTTTTACATTTTTTTTATTGATACATTTGTAGTTATTGGTAATATTTGATTTGTTTCAGTAAAGGTGTAACCTCGGAAAACTATTGACACCTGCAGCCGTAACACAAACTCCAGTCGTGCTTAAATTTGCAGACAATGCATGCTCTCACACTGTGTGCAAGGACAAAATCACCACTGTCACATACGTGTTGTCTAAGCTCTAGCTAACTAAGCAGCCCCATGTTGGCTCTTGTTGTATTTACATTTAAGTTTGCACGTTGCGATAAAGCGGTGCAATCATTTTCCTGGCAAAATCTAAAGAAATGAGTGGCAGTTCAAGGCTTTTGCACAGTGCTGTTTTCTGGTGCAGCTCTTCTTTAAAGCTGACCTTTTATGTGCCACTGCATCCGTTTCACTTACCTTACTTTTGAGTTTACCTTGAACTAAATGTGGACTAGGAGTAAAACTGCAGGACTCATTTCTGTTGTAGATGAATTGGTACACAAAGCGGGCGGCGCTGACGGGCATCTACAACACCACAGAGCTGGTGATGATTCAGGATTCCTCTCCAGACTTCCAGGACACCTGGGCCTTCCTCGATAACCGCATCCAAGATGTAGTCAACATGGCCACCACAGCCAAACAGGTAGAGAGTGAAACATTGTTAAAGACTCACTCCTGACTTCTTTTGAATGTTTTTGCAGAAGCACGTCTTTAATCGCTTTGCAGCATCACCCAGCAACGATAATAACAAATAAATGACCTGAGATTTAGCGTTTTAAGAGAAATCATGTAAAAATTAGTCATTATATGACACCTGAACCTGTTCTTCAGCCATGTGTAAGCTGTATGTTCCACTTTGATGTGTAGGTGCAGTCAACAGGTGAAGCAGTGGTGCAGGGACTCATGGGAGCTGCTGTTACGGTGAGTCTTTTGTCTTATATTCACCATTTAAATTCACTCTTCTCATAACTTCTGCCACAGGATTATTGGAGATACTTAAGTCTTCACCCTCTTCTTAGATCTGTGCTCTTAACTCTCACGTTCTTACCTCAGAAGCACATCACCCTCTGTGTAATGCACTCATTTTGCACTGAGAAAGATTCATTCAGTTAGAATAAATGTCATAAATTTGAAGTACCATCTTACTAACATCCTGAGGTTTGACAGAATCTGCATTTTGAAGGAAACTGTGTTCATTAATGTCTGCACGCCTCTTTTTCACAGCTGAAGAACCTCACAGGATTGAACCAGAGAAGATGAAGCACTGATCCCGACCATCCACATGATGAGCAGAACTCTGAAATATTGGATTATGGCTGTTAATAAACAATAGAAGGAGCAAATTTGTTTCTGATCACCTGCAGAAACTCTCACCCGCTGATCCTTTCACTCTCCTGCTCAGATCATTTTTTCCTTTGTACACAAGGACACAGATCTGTAATTTAGTTGTTGAATCAAGTGAAAGTTCAATAAAATAGTAATTGTATATTTAACTTTTTTTTTTTTTTTTGGTTTGTCTTCAGTTGTGAAATCAGTTTCCCACTAAAGAACTACGTTTCAGGTCAAAGTCACTATATTTTACTAGAGCGAAAACCCTGTGCCACCAGAATGATTTGAAATGTTCTGCAGTCAAAGTTTTGTATATAGAGACTTTAAAGTGTCTGATATGGGACGTTTGCATTAATTGTAATTGGTCTAACTGTATTACAATGACAAAGCAATTTTGAAACGTCATTACATTTCCTGTTAATGTCTTAGTTTGCCCACCAATCTAAACGCTTGAAATATTTGTTTTAGATTAATGTGAGACAATAAAGTTCTTGCCTGAAAACGAATATGCAGATAATGTTTGCGAGCAAGTCAAACTTGAGAGTTTGTGCTTTTGTTTTGAAAAGGGAGCTACCGTCGTCTGTAACCCGGTGGTTCAAAGAAGACCCGCCTTCGAGCCTCTTTTGACCCAATCACTGTACGCGTTTGCATCTCGAGGCCAATCAGCGTTTCGTAAATATTTCCGTGGAGGTCTTCAAGCAGAAGCAGCGGTAGTGTGAACTGTGTTGTTAGTGAAACGTCTAGTTTAGCTTCATTTAGCTTCAGTAATGCCGTATGCTAACCAGCCAACGGTAAAGATCACAGAGCTGACAGACGAAAATGTCAAGTTTGTCATCGAAAACACGGATTTGGCGTAAGTACGAGTATATTTTCCCTTGTGCAGTGTGTGAGGAGGACGAGGGCGGCCATTATTCTCAGCACCAAAACACACGCCGAGTAACAGTGTAAAGCTGCTTTCGTTTAACTCGTATAACTAATATTTAATGTACAATATAATTATTATTTAAGTGTATGTTAAGCTAGCTGAATGTGGAAGTAAACGCAGGTGCTTCACATTAGCTAGGTCATGTTTTTAAATGGGTCTTTAGTCTACTGTGAATGAATTACAATTTAGGACAAAGTTTCATATACAAATAACCAATAAGTAAATACATAGGCTGTAAAAATAAAGAAATATAAGTAGAAGTCAAATGGGCTGGTTATTCCATTCGTTTTTTATATTTTCCAGCGTTGATTAAAATGTACATTTTTCTCTATTTAGCTTTTCTTTTTTTTTCTTTTTTTAAATAAGGAAATGAAAATTCCTAAAGATTAAAGTATTTTCCTGCCTTTCCTTTGTTAGATTACCAGGTTTAACTGGCAGTCTAACAACACGCCAATTAAAGCTGAGGAAACTTCATTGGACACTATCTTAAACTTTAGTTTTCTTTGTCTTGCAATTCTGTAAAATGTGTTTTGTCTGATAATTAAAAGAAACATTTCATTGATTAGGCAATCAATCATAAAAAAAAATCAGCTGTTTCTCGCTAGAAGAATATTTCCTTTCTTTAATTAGTCTCCTGGTTATTTTCTCACTACAGTGACTGTTCGGTCTGTTCTTTTTAGAGTGGCCACAGCAGATCAGCTTTCACTCTCTAACTTTGTCTCCATATTACTCAGTCTTCAATGTCCCTCATAATTCAAATCTAGCTATCCATCAATTCTAAGCTTGTCCATTACAGTCATTCCAGATAAAAATCTTAACGCCTCTGTGACATCACAACATGAAACATGTGGAGTGCAACTGTTTTTAATGTCTGAACAGTCCAAAATCTGAAAATACAGAGTTTGCTGATGTTATGACTAAGGAATGCCTCTTCGATTAAAAAAAAAAACTTTGATCAGTAATCAGCATCAGTAATAGTTTGGTATTTTGCTAGTTGATTTATTAATCATCGTTCGTCACTGGAACCCCTTTTAAATGTTTGTATAATTCAGCCCTCTCAGTCGCAGATTTCAGGTGATCTTGGACTATTAGAACTCGTTCTGTGAAGCACACGCCTGATAAAAACCTGAAAGCACAGTCTGGAGTTTAAGGGAGACTTTAACGGTGTGTTATTCATCTGAAACCATTTTTTTCTTCTCTTTTTCAGGGTCGCAAACTCCCTCCGCCGTGTCTTTATGTCGGAGGTTCCTACAATAGGTACAGTAGCTTTCTGTGTGTGTGTCGTTGCTTAACATCGCCAAGTTTTGGTGAGGTCCTCTGTACAGTTATATAAGTAAGTTCTATAAGTAAGCAGTCAAGTCTCAGCTGCTGTTACGACATGGAGAGCAAAACAAAACGGATATTGTGTTGGATAAAGTTGTGTAGCTTCACCAGAACTCTGGGGAAAGCGCTCAGTATCAAACCCACCTCAGCAAGCCTAAATGACTGACTTGCACTGCACTACTTCATTTCCAGCCATCGACTGGATCCAGATCGACGCCAATTCGTCAGTACTGCACGATGAGTTTATCGCCCACAGAGTGGGTATGTATGAGAGCGTGTGTAATACCTGTGGCGGTGCGAGAGATCAAAGAAGGCTCCTGTAATAACCTGAGTGTTTCCTGTATCTTCAGGGCTCATACCACTCACCAGCGACGATATCGTGGACAAAATGCAGTATTCCAGGGTAAGCAGACATTTGTAGCACGGCCAACCACAGTTTCATTTTATCCTTGTTTCTCCAAGGTATTTTTAAAAGCTTATGTGTTGCCACGCTTGCTGTTCAGTGGACACCTCTCTCTTGTTTCCTGCAAAAACTCCTCCTGCCAGATTAGAGTGCCATTCCTGCTCGTGAGACTCAGAGATGCTGTTCATAATTTTCAGACATTTATGGTTTCTACACATGATTTGTCAGCTGCCTGTGACAACATAAACAGACTCAGACTGGTCATTAACCTGATGGTTCCCTGGTGTGAACGATACATGATATCAGATTGTGACAAAAGGTAGGACAGCCCAGTGCTTTTACTGCTAGTTTGTGGGCCTCGTGTTCGGCCTCCTGCCTACTCTGAACCACACAGAGTATTTCCAGACACGCAGGCAAGATATAAAATCTCCAGCTTTTTTACTGACATGCTCTGGGTAAAAATGATGATGATTTATTGATGTGTGAAACGTGTTAGCTTTAAAGCTGCACATGCTCGACGTAACATGGCAGTCTGCTTTTTCTGAAACCATCCCAAAGTGTTTAGAAATCTGACTTGTGGAAGTTGGAGGCGGGCTGCAGGTCACCGATCCAATCAGAAGTTAGGAACTGTACTTGAGTTTTTTGGGCTGCTTTCCCATTGGCTGAACAAAGCCAAGAACTTCCTAACTTTTGAATGCCGGCGCCAGCTTTAACACCACAACGTCAAATTCTCCTGCAGGACTGCACCTGTGAGGATTTCTGTCAGGAGTGTTCTGTGGAGCTCACCCTGGATGTTCGATGTAACGAGGACCAGACGCGTCACGTGACCTCGCGTGACCTGTTGTCTAACAACCCCAGAGTCATCCCGGTGAGGCTTT